TAATATATAATATATTATAATATATAATATTATATAATATATGTAACTCTGTTTCAATAAAGATAAAAAAAAATGTCTAACACATTTTTAAGTATATAAGATATAAATTTTTTTCTATCTCTATATAGAGAAAACCGAGCAATTTATGAAAAAATAATAAAGATAATAGAAATATAAATTATTGTGCCAGTCAATAATTCGCATAAATTTTCATCAAACACATTATCAAGTAATTTACTTAAAACCTGTATAAGAAATTCACTGCCACATTATTGGATTTTTTATGACTAATTATACTGTTTAATTTGAGTCTATAGATGAAAAATTGATTCAATAGACCAGGTGATATACCGCATATATTTTACACTTCATATAAATTCTAGAAATCCCGAAATCCAAGTATAGATACCAAGATCTCGATTTATTATGTATTACTATATAACAATTCATGAATCCAAACAGTCTTAAAAGTCCAATAGTTTCAAAGGAAAGCCGAAAACCCTTAAAAACGCGAAAGCTTTGAAATGCTGAAGACTCATTGAAACACAAAATATCTCGTAATTGATGACATGTCGATTTCACAAATATCCAATATGCAAACAATTTACGTGCAAATGATTTGTGTTCACACACTTGCCTATTTAATAATTGGTTTTTAAGAGAGTCATGCTCTTTCTCTATGAACAATCATTCGGTATCCAAATATATTTTAAGTGCTCTCTCTCGACGTGGACTGTAACTTGAAGTAGTAGTAAGCGGCGTTAAGCGTGAATTTTCCTTAAAAGCGATTTCCATTACCTCATCAGCATTTAACTGTTTTGGTTTTTCCCTATTATCCCTAAAAAATTAAAAATTGTGAGATTAGAGAATCATCAACATCACACATCCCCCCCCCAATAGTATATCCAAAAATAGTATAAATACCTGTATAAGAAAACGGCACCATCTTCAAAATTGAAAGCTAAACTATCATGATGTTCATTCCAATCAAGCTCATTTTGAATTCGAAGCACAGAACAACTGTCACATGGAAAATTACCTTTTCCCTTTGCTATATCTATATATTCTTCTGGAATATCTGATATTGAGGAAAGCTAGAAAAAATCAATGGCAGTCTATGTACTTCATTTTATCCTTATAAAAACACAATTTACATGTACTTCTTTTTATCTTATTTGTAAAAAGTGATTTTGCATGATTTACCTTCTTTTTTAATTCTTCGACGGTTCTATTATCCATGACAATTTCTTGAAATTGTCCTAGTTGCAATTTTGCTGGTAACCATCTTCTGACAAACAGGACGATTTGATTGATATCTGTGACTGTCTCTTTATCTGATAATTCTTGAACAATCATTTCAAATTGCGAGTGAAATCGGAGATCCTCGAATTTCTGTTCGTTTAGGAATACTTTTGAGGCTGTCTTATAATATTTTTTTCTAAGCCGGCATTTTTCATACGGTATATCTATATCATATTTTCTCTTTATTTCTGCCAATATCTCTTTTTTCGCATGCCCGACCGTCATATCTTTCGAGACGATCCATTCGCACAAAAATTTGTAAGGCTAACAACAAATTTTAATTTATAATAAAAAAACAACTCTTGTAATAATGTCAATATAAAACGTGTGTAAAATATGAAAAAAGAAAAAATTTGACAAACCTCAGTGGAGTCGATCAATAGCTGATATAATTTTACTTTGAATTCTCCACTACGCAAGGCTCGTCCGAGTTTCACGTTAAGTCTCTCACCATCCTCGTACGAATTAAGCTGTTCTGTTAGACAGCTACATTCTGATTCACCAGAACTCGATAAACGAAAAACTTTGAAATAATCCATAGGTACACTTACGAACGGTTCTAAATCTTTTTTCAAAGTGCTAAATCTCATTCTTTTATCCACTAATACTTTAAGTACTATAAAAAGAAAAAGAATAATTAAATTGAACAAAATCGAAACAATCATAGTCACTAACAATAAGAGAAAGATTGAATTCGAGAACATACATTTTTGTTGAGTACTATCTGTATATGGCATAGCTCTAAAATAATAATCAGAGTCGTCATCAATGTCCCAATTTTCTATTTCGAATTGCTTTGAAATCTTATAATCCCTATAGTTGCGCCTATGCCACGACTGCGCTTCAATGTCGACACCATCCGGCGCATCGCCGACTAACGTTTTATCGCTATCGCTAAGGCTACTATCTTCACTATTACTCTGTTCAGGTGTATTCCATTCCTCAGCTTCGCCTAACTGAGGACTTATGTTTCGAATGGTATCTTCGTTATTTCGTGTACAACCTTTTGAATTTTCATTGTATTTCAAATTAATGTCCCAATGCGACTCGGGAACGCACAGTTTAGGTGAACCATTGCTAACAAGCTTCTCCTTTTCCTCATGTTTATCATCTAATAACGGGATATTCAATTCTTCCAATGTTTCTGTACATAAGAAATTAAAATTTTTAATTTAGTAATTACAATTGCATAACTATCGTGTAATGTAATCTAACATTTTTTACAATAACTATATACAATTTCGTGCTATCTAAAGCAATGGAGATATTTTAGATAGCCAAATTAGATCGAACACACATTCTATATATTATCTAAAAGTTATATAAATTACCTTTGCTGGTATCTGGTAATTGGACATGTAATGAAATAACATATCTAAAATTCTCTATGACTCTGTATACTGTTGATTCTTGAAAAGGTTTGTTATTATCTATGTCGTACATTGTTGATATGAATACTTTATTTGCATTATAAAATCCTTCAGTTTGAAGATCACTATCATCATTTTCCACAGATCTAATCTCTGGATGCTTTCGTAATATTACTTTCATTTGCTTAGGATCCATATTAATAATTTTTCCTACGATTTGTTTATATTCTTTAACACTTTGCGACAAAGAACCTCGAATATCGATCGGACCGTCAATTACCTCCTCTCTCGCTACGTCTATGACAAATACCTTAGTTGCAACTCCTAAAATATAATGTTCAAAAAGTTTAAATAAGTTTAAAATGTTTCCACGATATGTAATTAGTTATAAACATTCGTCCAGTTGTGTACTCACCGCCTGGTAAATATGTCTCAAACTTTTGATCTTTGCGACGAATTTCTAACAATAAATCGAATCGACGTGAAATACGCCATATACTTCCAACAGATTCATCCTCTCGATCATCGTAACTACATTCTATTAAATCGGTATTATGTTCGTAACTAACTAAACGGCACTGATCTAGACTCACTACATTTTCGAGGCCAAATTTCTTATATGCTTTCTCTGTGGCTTCAGCCCACGTAATGTCAGACATAACATATAATTTGATATTCATCAATTTTCCTTCTACTGGATGATGACAGTATATTTTCAATCTAGGTATGGACATTTGTTTCTCACGATTTTTTCTATCATTATCTTCATTTTCTTTCATTTTCTTTAATAGCTCCTACAAATAGACAATGACAAAACACTTTTAAAAAATCTTGAAGAGAAATAATTACAATTAAATCACAGTTAAATCAGTTACTTGTAAAAAAAATAGTTTTAAACACACGAGATATACTAGATAGACTATGTACTCAATATTGCTTTTATCCAAAAATAACTTCTTTGCTTTTGCAACTGACTCGAATTGCAAATTGATCAAATACTTTGACTATTGGTTTCATTCAAACTATAAAAACTATTTTAATTTAACGTTCAAACATTCCTATTTCGAATTTTTCAAACCAATCCACACAATTTTTTTTCAAATTTATGTCTAAATTATGTCTAAATTCTAATTTTTACTTTAATCACATACTTGAATATGTCGTGGAAAATCTTGGGTTTGCATAGGCAAAGAATTACGAATACGATCAATTTGCCTATACATGAGCATATATGCATTTGTGCTGCTGCTATATGCACCACTATAATATGCTCTTGATGGTCCGCCGCCATATGTTTTCTGGATATCATCATGAGTTATCTGAAATTATAATCAAAATTGCAATCAAAATAATTATCAAATTAAGTATTCAAAATAAGCTTTTACAAAACTGTTTTTCATACCTGAGTTACACTTTGGTCATTAAAACATAACCATTCTTGTGTTTTGAAATCTTTTATATAAGCGTAATAATGGCCTCCACTCGCACTGCCGCTGTGAATCATGATGGAAAACAGTTCGTACATATATGGACCTTTTCCTAATATAGAAATACCGCGATTCTTGTCATTCTCATGATTATGCATAGTACAACTTGATGTCGATGGTCCATTGCTCATATCGATACCTGAAATTGGACATATACTATATCTTCTAATAATTCTAAAAATTGTTTTTATAAATATCGATATCCTGATGTTATACCTTCATCATCATCTTGATCATGATTAGCTGAATGATTACTGTTGGAAAGACTGTTGTCGCACGGTGCACAATCATCGTCTAAAGTACCGCTATCCGTTGTAGAGCTATCATCGCATTTGATACCTAAACCAATATCTTCCTCACCACCAGGAGATTCTTGACTCATTGTGGACGAGATAAAGGAATTTAAATTTAATATGTCTGGGAACGTGACTCTGCAATAATATAGTTTAGATAAAGATGCAAGTTTGTAATAAACAGCAGAATTTTCACTATATAATATTGCATACACACATAGTTTACGTACTTATCATTAAGCTTGATTCTATGAAAGGTTTTGTAATCAAAGTCAAATCGCTTGAGATGTAAGGTTAACAAATATGGAAACTTTGTAAACTTCAATCCTTTATGTGCATCGCATTTTTTGTTGCACTTTTCACAATGATACTGATTAGTTCCTTCCAATGTTTCATATTGAACAAATGCTCTGATTGCTTCTTCCTATAAAAGAAATCTTTTTTCTTGTATACAAATATAAAAATGGTATTTCAGATCTTCCTATATGTGATATTTTACCACACTGTTATATGCAATATTGCTTCCGAATGGTCTAACTGGCAATGGGATGTCAAGAAATGTATCTTCTCTTGATTTTTCCGTTCCACACTCGAGACATTTAACATAATCAATCATCTTTCCTAACAATATCGAAGGCAAATTAGAGGTTTTTTCCAACTCACATATGATGATATTTTGTACCTTCATAAAGTCTGTTGATTAGATCTGCCTGTTCTGTATTTTTAAATTTCTGTTCCAATGCGTCAAACATAACTCTACAAAGCTCTTGAATGTCATGCTGCTGCCATGCTTCAGTAGAATCCCACCCAAAACTTTTAGTTAAGGAAGTAGTTTCCACTGCAGACTTTGTAGATGTCTGTTTAAAAAACATGATTGTGTTATGTATATTGAAAACATGCAAATTTAATTAAAAATAAATATTGTAGTAAATTTAGTAACAGTAGTGCAATAGTAAATATATGTACATTTTAAAGGTTTTTTTTATACCTGCAAATTAAGAAATAATTTCTGTAATTGATATGGTATGCTTAAGGCTTCATCTTTTTCGGAACCATCTATATATTCCCAATTATATAGCGCATTACGAAATTCTGGCGTCATATATAACGCTTGGAGAAGACTATTCAAGTAGCAAGTCATTGCTTGATTGACTAAACCAACATAGCCTTAAAGAATTTATTATTAATCTTATTAATCTATAATTAATATTGTATTAATCATTCAAATTTATATTTTAATGAGATAGATCTGTGTTAATATTTATAAATTTATATTAAAATAATTTTTGTTATATATATATTACGTACTTGTCTCAGTTTTAATAAAACTTCTAAAATTGACTTCCTCTTTACCATCTCTAACGTCTTCTCTAACATCTTCCCTAACAATATCCTCTTCTCCCCATACATGTGGCTGAAGAGCTGACGTTCCTGTGAGATTATACGTTGGCAGATTATATTCCATGTTTTTTGGTGATGTTACATCAATAACAAAGGGTCGTTGCGGATCAACAACAAATAGAGTATTTTTTGGTCCAGCCGAATTTGGATCACTCGAGAAATCTACACCAATTTCCTCCATTGTTTTGTCTTTCACATCAGCCAAATAAATCTAATATTGAACATAAGATTGGACATTATATTAATATTACATATATTTACACATTGTATACATAAATCATTATGTATTAAAAAGTTAACCATTTTGCATGATGTTGTGCATAAAATCAATTTAAAGCTATCCGGTGACATGTGATAATGTTCTTCGATATAATTGAAAAGATCTTTTGCGCGTGTAGATACATATAGGGAAAATTTGTCACTAGTGCAAAGTTTATGATTAACCTCACAAGGTATATTGAATTCAACCACACATATTTGAGTCTTTTCATCGGCTCTGCAAACCATGATCTGTAAGCAAAATGACATAAATGCATAAATTGTATGAAATCAAATATTTATTATAACAATTCAAAAACTACTATATCAACTAAACAAACCATATCAACAATTTAAAAAAATACCATCTAAAATATTCTTCAAAATCTTTCAGGAAAAATTGCATTATATGATAATAGTAGAGCAAAGAACTTAACATCTCTCATTTAAACATAGTTTTTCTTTTATTAATGAGAGTAACAGAATTTCGAAAAGAGAGAGTGATTATTAAAAGCTTATCACAGATATTCTAAAGCAGACAAAAATTGGCATCATGCCATACTGACGGCGGAAAATGAGCAAGATCTACGCAACACAGCAGGATGCTGTTCTGCACGGCATGACACAGTACGGAAAGCCTATAGAGAGCCTCCAGCTATATTTAGAATATCTAAACCAAGCTTGTGAAATGGCTCTCTTTTCTGAGATCACAATCCATCTCTCTTTCTGTCTCCCTATGTGCTTCCTTGTTTTATAATTTTTTTTTTTTTTTTTAACTGTGTGGCATACATAATTGAAATGTGAAATAATTATAACAATTGTTTTTTTTATAATTCAATAAACTAATTAACTCATTATATACTATCATCTAAATATTTTACTTAAATCTATGTATATTCTGTATTTCTATGTAATTATTATATAAATATATGAATAGTCCACATATATTTTTCTTATACATTTATATATATATATATATATATAA